TTTGCGGGCTCGTGTGCACATCTCGGCTGCCAGTTGGTGCGGTCCCCCTTGAAGCTCACCGGCGATCCGAGGACCGTTAGCGCTGCGTTCCCCGTCTGGGGTTGTACCCATTGGCCATCGATCTGGAAGCGCTGCGGGTTGCTGGTGCTGCAGATGATCTTCTTGGGGTTTATCCTCAGGCCGTGCTGCTTGAGGATCCTTTGGAGGATGTCAAGGGTGGCTTGTAAGTGGTGCGGGTTTTCTCCCCAGAGGTAAGTGTCGTCCATAAAGCTCCCCCCGTGGTGGGGTGGGGGGGGGGGGAGTCTGGGGTTGCCCCCACACAGCGATTCCCCCGCTGCGTTTGGCCAAGGGTTTGTTGAAGGCATTGCCCGACTCTCGCCGAGAAGAGCACAGGAGAGTCTGGTGACCCCTGTCGCACCCCACTGGATTGTGGAACGAGGATGCTCTCCTCCCCCGCCTCCACGAGCACCCCCCTTGCTTGGAGAAGGGCCAGCCACAACACCGACTCGCAGGGGTGATCATCCCCCATGTGGGTCTCCACCAGGTCGGCGAGACTGGTCGAAGGCCTTTTGCAAGTCGAGCTTGATTATCCAAAATGTGCCTCCCCAGTCGCGAGCCATTCGGGCTACTTTCCGGAGCGCCAGAATGAGCTCTGTTCCTTGTCTCCCCGGTGACGCCCACTGCAACGTGTTGAGGGGCTTGAGTGTGTAGGCGCAGCGGCGGAGGAGCAGTTGGGCAATGGCTTTCAGGATGGCGCTGTTGAGGGTTATTGGCCTGGTCTCCCCCCAGTTCTGGGCATGGTCCCCTTCGGGAGGAGTATGGTGGCTCCCCGCTCAACGACTGCCGGCAACCTCCCCGTGTAGAGGGCGTCGTTGAGCATGGCGAGAATGCGGTACTCCCACACTGGGTGCTGGAGCAGGGCTTTGAAGGCTTCATGCAAGATCTGGTCCGGCCCTGTGCTCTTGCTGTTCTTCCATCGCACCGCAATGCCCCCGACCTCCTCAACTGAGAAGGGCTGCCATGGTGTGTGCTTGCAGTTTCGCCGTAGGCGCTCCCGGCGGAGTTGGAAGTCGTTGTCCCGTGTCCCGCTGCTGTCTTTGTCGAAAATTGCCTGGAAATGGGCAAGGAGTGCTCCCTGCCAATCGTGCTCGTCAGTCAAGGTCGCCATCCACGTGTCCCCCCGGTCCCCCCGCTTGTGCTGCCGGTATGCTGGCCAGTCGTGTTGGCTGGCCTTTTGCTCGATGGCTTGCTTCCATTGCTTGTGCTCCTTGTGCAGCTGTTTTTGCACGTCCTTCCAGGCCTGTCTCCTTGCTCCCCCTGGTGCCGTCGCATGGGCTGCACGTCGAGCTTGTTTGAGTGCTTTGCTCTCGGCGAATTTGGCGTGCTCCTTCCGCCCCGGCTTGGTGATGGCCGTGCTGATCTGCGCGAGCTGTGCGTGCCGGTCCCCCCAATGTTGCTGCGCTTGCTGGTTCAGCAGCGTGTCGAGGTGCTCCGTGGACAGGTGGAGGTGACGCGGGCCGCAGGTTGTGCTGGTTTTAGCCTGAGCTGCAGCATGACCGGCTCGTGGTCCGATCTCGCCATGTCTCGCAGTGAGGCCACTTCCCCTTGCTCTGAGAAGAAGCCTTTTATGGCGAGGTAATCCAGTCTTCTGGGCTGATGGGTGGCATCGTATAGGGGAAGTGTGTGGCTGTTGCGAGGTCCTGCGGTGGGAGGCGAAACCCGGGCGTTGGAGCCATGCTAGGAAGGCATCCCCCCGTCCCGTTCGTGCCTGTGCCTGCTCATGCTGTTGCTCTGGGTTGTGTCTTGTCGGGGGGAAGGTCTCGTTGGCGTCCACCCCCAGTATTGCTTTCCTGACCCCAAGCGCGTGGCATGTCCCCCATTGTGTCATGAGCGCTTCGGCTTTGGCTATGGTGGCGTGGTGTGGCACGTGTGCGCTGAGCATTCCCCACTTGTGTCCTGACGCCCCCACCAGCACGGTGCTGACCCCCGCCGGCATGACCTGGGACTTGCTGTGTTTCCCCAGCATGGTGCGAAAAGCCACCCCTTCGCCCCTCCATTCCCCCAGGACTTTGCCGTACACTAGTGTCCACTGCTTGCTGTTGGCAAAATGCCTGCCTGCATCTGTGATGAGTTCCTGAAAGAACACGATTGAAACTGAGGAGAGCACTTTGTTCCCCCCGAACGTCTGCAGCAGCTCCAGTGCATGAGCCGCCGTGAGGCCGCCGACGTTCCAGGTAGCCGCAACCAAAGGTCGCTGCGGTCGCCCCTTAGGGGCTTTGTCGTGAAACTTGAATTCGGGGGGACTGTCGTCCCCGTACTCGCCGCTGCTCTCTGTGGGCTCGGTTCCTCAGCGGAGGGCTGTCTTTAGCTCCCCCCACTCGGCTTCCACATCTGCAAAGGCCTGGTTGACTCCCCTTGCGATGGCTCGGAGATTGATCCAGCCTGCTCCTGCTTCTTCTCCCTCCCCCGGCTTCGTTGTGGTAGCTGACGCCACACGGACTGAGTTAAGCCACACCGTACCGGTGGCCCACTCCGTCTCGACCTTCTCAAGGGGCGCCCCCATCATAGGAGCACATCACATGTCTCTTCCAAGCGGGCCGCTTCAGCATTGCAGGAAAAGTACAAGAAAACCATGGAACATGTCAAAAACATAGGCAAAGCTCGTAAAGGCTAAGAAAAGCTATAAAAAGCTATAAATAGCTAAAAAAGACTAATAATTTCCTGCAGTGACGTCTCGATTGGACCTGTGGCTTTGGGTTCAGGAGTTCAGGGTTTGGAGATAGTGGCGAGGGTTTTGGGATGAAGATAAAGGGTTCAGGGTGGCGGATTTCGGATGTATGATTGAAGGTTCTGTTTGGTGCTTTAGGGTTGGCAGTTAGTTGAGCGGGGGATTTTTCTTGGAATTATGTGGCATGCAGTGCGTTTTCCAATCCACTAGAAAAAGCTAGAAAAAGCTAGAAAAAGCTAGATAAAGCTAGAAAAAACTAGAAACAGCTAGATAAAGCTAGAATAAGCTAGAAAAAGCTAGAAAAAACTGGATTTTTCCTGATTTGGGGCCGGGGGCCCGGCCAAGGAATTCCATTGAAAAGCTAGGCAAGGCTAGAAAAGGCTACAAAAAGCTTGGCATGCTTGAGCCACCTGAGGACCCAGTTTATCACATGTTCAGCGAAGGATTTTACCAGGATTTATTTAGCTCCTTTAATGGTGCCCCGGCTGCGAAGAAGCCTACTTAGAAGAAGCATTAGATGCGCCCCTAAGACCCCAAGGACAAACACAGGCGCTTCGTCTTCCCCGCAAGCTGGACTCGGCGGCGGCGTTCTGGAGACTGAGAGAGCTGGAGCCATAGGTATTTTGCTCGGCCGTCTGGGTTCGCCCCCATCTGTATGTTGGCTTGGCGGACCCTCCGGAGCGCCGAGGAAAGGCGGTCACGGAGCTGCTGCTGGTCCTCCCCGTCCTTCGCCTCGTAGGGTACAATGGCGTACCCCCTTCTGACCACCGGGACGAAGGCTTGCTCGGTCGAGATGTCCAGCCTGAGATCTTTGACCATCTGTTTCATATTCTTCAAGGTTTCCTCCGCAGGGGTGTCATCCCCCCTCCGCCCATAATGAGCGCGGGTTTGCGGCCCCCGGAATCCGTGTCCGCTGTACTGGAAGCCCCTGTGCTCTGGATCACTTGCACCTTGTTCTCGAGGGCTTGTAGTCTGGCTGACATCGAGTACTGCTCCCCTTGGATGGTTTCCACGACTCGTTGCTGCTCCCCCTGCTGGTTGGTGATGGCGGCGAGGCGTTCCAGGGTGCGCTCCAGTTGCGCCGTGACCCCTGTCTCGACTCGGTCCATGCGCTGGCTGATCTCGGCGCGGAGGGTGCTCGTGCTCCCCGTCACCTCACTGCGCACCACCTCACGGATGGCTTCCAGGCTGAGCTTTTCTTCCTCCGGTGCCCCCCTCTTCTTCTGGGCCGGCGGCGAGGTCGGATCTGTTGCCATTGGGTCGGTCATGACCCCCACACGTAGGCAAGGAATGCTAGGTCGCCCTGCGTGCCAATATCACGATCAGGTCGGTGTTGGTGTCCCCGTTCGAGGTGGATGGTGTCCCGTAGTCCTGTAGGGCCGCCGAATTTGTTGGGGTAGCGGGTGTCAAGCTCCCGAAGCAGCAGCAGGTAGGCCGCCGATCCCCTCGTGGAGCAGTCCTGACTATGTCCCCGTTCCGCACCCCCTCGGTGAAGAGCGCACTCTGGCCTATGTCCTCCCGGTCGCTGATGGCTGAGGCGGCACAAGCAGGACAAGAGGAGCGCCCGGGTTCGAGACCTGCCGCCCCTAAGTAGCAAAGGAAAGAAGAGAGAACCCTGGGCAATGCAAGGAGCGGCACGGCCTTGAGCACTCGCGGCTTGAGCCAAAATGGCTACTCTCTCTCTCTCTCTCTCTCTCTCTCTCTCTCTCTCTCTCTCTCTCTCTCTCTCTCTCTCTCTCTCTCTCTCTGTTACATAGATACGCGGACGCGTGGTCTACGAGTCTACATGCACACATATACTGTAGCAGCACCACCACCGCAACCAGCACGACAAGGGTTTCGTCGCTCAGACGCGGACGATCCAGGTGAGGCGCGTGGTTCGAGGTCTGAAGGGTCGCAGACGCAGGCACGGCTTCTTAGGGTTTAAGTCGGGTTTTAGTGTTTGGCCCGCCCGGCCCCCCCCCCCCCTCGCGACCCATTGCGCTCACCTGGAAACGAGGTTGTTGTTGCTAGTCAAGTTGGTGTCACAAATTCTGGGACCCCGCGTGTTGTTCTACATGTCCCCCGCCCCTCCCCGCCCACACAACCTCGGGGAGCGTGGCCCGTAGGGGCGCGCCCCATGTCCTTCTTTTGGTAGATGACTCCAGTCTTTGTAACCACAATCACCAACCACGGCCACCACACCAGCAAGAGCAACAGCAATAACAACATCCTTCAAGATTGAACCCACAGCTGCAGGTATGCACGATGGGCTGTATTGCACCGTCTTTGCCTGCTCCCGCACGCTGAGCTTGCTTTCCAGCTCTGCCGCATAAGAGCCCGCACTTCGGAGTTCTGCCTCCACATTGACCTTGTACCCGACATGAAAGGAAACCAAGTCTCTTGTGCGACAATACTGCTGGATTCTCCCATCAGGCAAAGTCATTATGTCTCGCAAGAACTCTCTCTAGCTTGGGACGTGCCGGGCACCTTGTAGTGTGCCATCTGGCGCTCGTGCCTGTCGCAAGACATGCACCATATGTTCACAAACAATTGTCGGCTGATTCGGGGCAGGTTCTCACCGCCATAGGGTTCTGATGGGCTCTGTGCAACTTTGGTGCTCGCGATGTGCGACGTCCATCTGCTGGATCATCTCCGCAGTCTGAGACAAGCAAACGATGGGGTGAGAAATGTTGGAAACAAGCATCAGTGTTTGCGATGACAATGCCAGCACGGGACGAGTGATGCGACACTTCAAACTCGGAACCTGCAAAGCCTGTAATTCCGATCTTGCCACCCCAACTTGAGGCTTGTGATTGCCAGAACCAGGACATGCCGGCTCAATATGCCTCGCCAGACTACACATCAATATCTACCCAAGGCCCAAGGTTTCACGGCGACTCCTGCCGTTTGCGATCCAACTGCGGGTCTCCTGTGACTTGGAAGGAAGCGGTATGTTGTCCCTGAAAGAGCTGCCCCTGAAAGCCTTAGCAGCCGCTTCTGTCTTCGCTCGCTCCAGCTCCCAGTCCTCCAGCACACGATGCGCTTAAGCCAATCGAAATCACACCTTCACTTTGGCGGACTTGCCCGCTGCAAGCTATAGAGAAATTAATCGCGGCGGCCGGCAAGACGAGCATGAACAGAAACGGTCCTTGGCCCTGAGCTGTGCTTCAGCTTCTGCCAGCCGCTCACGGACCTTCTGCCAGCCGGAAGTGACAAATCCCAAACATGCTGAAAAGTGCCCGTCCCCCGGAACACCCAAACCCACTCGCCTCATCATCTCAGCATGCAAGAAAACCCACCGTAAAAACACAAATGGCCGCTTTGCAACAATTGTGCCCAGTCCATTGCGCCATCTTCTCAATGCTCCATTCGGGCCCAGCAGCTCTAGGTAGCTCTTGGCCAAGCTCTGCCACCCTCCAGCGAGGAAAAAGCATCATGCTGATCTCATCTTGTCGGCTGGTCCCTCAACTGAATCCACGAGCTAAAGGCGGTAGACTCTCACATGGCTCCCGAGATGGAGGGGTTGCGCATGCCTTCGCTGTTCCACGGAAAGCTGGGCAGCTGAGTCACGCTGAGCCTTTGCCACCTGCGAATATCGACATTGCGACAAGTCATTGGTACAGCAGACAGCATTTGCCAGTAACGTTATGTGGAAATCTGACTGTTCACCCCCCCCTCCACTGTCGTCCAATGAACGGTAGATGGATTGACCTGGGAATTGTCATGCAATTGCTGCCTCTTCTTCGGCCCAACCTTGCCATCTCTCAAGCTCCTGAGAGTGCTGCGAAGTGCGAAGCCGACTCAACTCGTAGAATCGCACGATACGACTCCCGATTTCTCCCCGAGATGTGGCATCTGAGCAGCTGGCCAGCTCCAGATCTCGGACTCTGGCAGTGGCTGTTTCGATGTCGGCCTGACTTGTGCAGGATGATGTCAGCTCTTAGAGGTGCCGCAATGGCTCAGCATCCCACAGATGCTGAGCTGCTAAGGCTCTCCTTAGCCAGCGCAGGAAAGCTTCGAGAGCTGGTCCCGTGAGTTGCGGTCGTCTGCACACGAGGTAAGGCCCTAAGGCCCGCGCAAGAGCAGCCTGCAGGCTGCGGCACTTCTCCTCGGAGTCATGCAGGCCTGATGCGGGAGCGGTGGGGCGACTCTGCTGCAGAAAACTATTATGCGAAACCACGCTTGGACAAGATGTGCCGCATTATACCTCGGCTGCATCTCACGTCTAAGATTTGGCATCTTTTTCTGCAGCCATCTGCAACCTCTGACTCCTGACACTTTCCGCGTGATAGTGGTCTTCGTTCACCTGACCTGCTCGATCACGACGGTCGCATACACGGGCCAAGTAGTTCTGCGCACGCAAAGCCCAAGCCGATCAGATCGCAACAGCAGATCTTCTGGCAACCGTGGGGGGAATACCGATATGTCAACAAGCCTTGGGCAACCTTCGTTCGACGCGTTTTATCTTGACAGCTCGCATGCTGATCGCTGCTTGCTGTTTTCGTCGAAGCTGCCACAATCGTGCAGTGCGCAGGAGCAGCTCTCCACCAAGATCTCCAGCAATGCAGACCAAGTCCACAACGGTTGGCCCACTGCTACGGAACTTCCGAGCGGCTGAGTCGCCTTCCACGTTGGGTCGGTGCAGTCGCGGGTTTAGGACCATACGCTTAGGTCCTAGGTCCCAAAGGCGGCAAGCGAAGCAAGGCGCCACCAGCGAAGAGAGGAGCGCCGAAGCTCCTGAAAAGCATCCGAAGCTTCAAGCTGCTGCATGACGGCCCATGAGAGTCTGGCGCGCCTCATGATGCTGGCGCATTTGCGAGCTTACGGTGAAGGCTTCGTCCTTCATCGGCCAATCAGGTCACAAGTTCACTCAACAGAGTGTTTGTTCGGCACTTTGGGCACTACTCTTCGCCTGCGTCATGGTGGCCAGCTGAAGCATCTCCCGGGCACTCCTGACTCTCAAATGTCTTCATAGTCACACGCAATCTGCCTAAGTCTACCTTGTACGCGCCACAATATTCTCAGTAATCCCTTCCCCCTAATATTAAACACCCCTCCCCCCCGCCTCCCTAATATAAAAACTGATTGCCAGTATTTTGTTTTGATATTAGGGGGGGTTTCGATTCATCCACGCATGAAACCCTAAAGCCCTAAGCCCTAAACCTCGAGCCCTAAACCCTAAAGCCCTGAGCCCTAAACCCTAAAGCTCTGGTCTCTTCGGTTTGATTAGGACAGCTGTAATCTTTGGCTCTATTAAAACTCATACAATCCTACGCACCCCCTTATGTTTTCAATATAACTTTCAATTGTGGGCCCGAAACCGCGAAATTCCGGGGGCCGGGAATTTTTGTATTAGGGGGGGGTTTAACTAGTGGGAAGCAATTACAGTATTTGGTGTGCCCAGGACCATTTTCCAGACTACAGCAGGATTCTAGCATGTCGTAGCCAAGGCTCCTGAAGCGAATTAGGTGTGGCCAGAGCTCCCACTCCGTATACTGTGCCCAGTAACCTTAGCGGCAAGCATATATGGCATATATGGTACGAAACCACGATCGCATGCCCTTGCTATCGAAGTTTGCGATTTTCGAACAGAGTATTGCCAGGGATCGTTTCTGCAGGACCGCCGACTTCATCCACGTGATGCAACTAGGTGCCGTCAGGCAACGTCTGTCCTCATCGAAACGATCCGGTTGGAACACCTTGCCCTGGAAGGCGAACGGTGAGAAGGGATGGCTCGTTGTGTTGGCCGCCATCCTCGGGACTCTCCCAAAGTATGGTGATGATGTCTTGGATGCCATGCACTGCATCAGCCCAAACTGCCTCCACACACAGCGACAAGAACTGGGGCCAGCCAGACATTCAAGAAAGAACCTTTCAGTTGTTTGAGATGAAGCCCCGTGTCGGATCCAGCGATTGAGAAAGCTCAGAATCTGTGCGTCCACAGAAAGGGCCAGCATATGGCCACACATACCTGATGAACCCACTTGCACGGCAGACTGCATCTCGCTTTCTCGTTTCATGACGCAGCCCACTGCTTTTTCCGAATTGCTTGTGCAGCAACGGGAGTGCTGGCACCAGTGTGGGCGAGTTCAGCCTCAGTGTCAACAATGAACTGAACGCGACAACACTGCTGACAGCACATGCGTGATTATGTCTAATCCCAAGTCTTCGACGCGAAGACATCTGGCAGGCGCTGCGCATAGGGAACCTCAATCTTTGCGCCAGCCGTGACCCGCCCATTTTGTAAAAAGAAATACTGGGTTGTGGTTTCGGGCCTGCGAAAAGTTTTTATGGAACCGACTGCGGCTACTGTGACTAATGCTAGCCCATGCTCACACTCACTCAGAAGCATTGGTGAGGGCACACCGGAACTTTTTAAAACACCGAGCGTGGAGTCAAGCGTTGAGCTTGTCATCAGCGGCGACGGACCTGGGCACAACGGGAGTCTACATTGCATGATGGACTGGATCACTCAACAGGCACGGCAGAAATCGGATGCATTGTTTTGACACTCACTGTCACAGGCTGTGAAGGCTGAAGGGCAATCCCAAAATGCAGATGTGACACTCACGCTGTGAGGGCTGAAGGGCAATCGCAAAATGCAGAGCTGGAATTACGAATTGACACTCGCTGGGGGTTGAAGGGGAGCTCTGCTGGACGCCCTCCGACCAGGTCGGTCACTTTCACTTTATCTGATCTACACGGAACGATCGGCGGCATTCACACTCGATGCTGACTCCAGGGCCTCACTGCCAGGCTGCTGCTCCAAAAACTGGACCTGCTGTTTGAGGGACTCCAATCGGCGGCGCTTCCTGAGTGTTACAGTATTTATACTAGCACCAACAATGGGTCGAGTAGGTACAATTTAATAATGTATTAGACATACTAGCTCGGCCAAAAGACGAATCTAGCTGTTGCTCACGATGACCCTCTCGAACATCCTGGTACCCCTGCCCATCCGTCACTGTCAACTTGGCCGTGTAGCCACGCACTTGTACTGCGGAGTTGATGATCTCCGTCAGGTGGGCACTGTTCCTTGCCATCAAGACCGAATGCGACACGACACAGGCAGAGCCGGGGATCACCTTCACGCTCTGCAAGAAGTCCACCCCCTGGAACGTGAAGGCCAGGAGACCGACATCACGGCCATCTAAGCCTCGCGTGAGCATGTGCATAGCAGCCAGAGCCGACACATCACTGTCAAACAGCACGACGACCACAGACTCCGAACTCACCGGCACCATCACCATGCTACTCGACTTTGTATTCATTGTCAGAAATGGCAGGATTTCCTGGTAAGACTCAGCCTTGACAGCCTCGGACATGCTGTCAATGTTCTTCACTGTCACTGCATAGTAGTGGAACAACGGGATACCCTCACTCAAGGTCGCAAACTCGTCCTTGATCTTCCACTCCATGGTTTTCTGCACGTCCAGCTGACACTGTGACTTCAGGAAGACACTGTTGAACATGCCTGAATCGAAGGTCAAACAAGAAGCGACAAGAAGGTTCTGAGGCTTATCATTTTATTTTTGTTTCAACTTCATGCCTTCCTTAAAGTTCATCACACTCTGGAAGACGATGCCTCCGCCGGTCTCTGCTGGGGCGATGCTGCCTTTGGCAAACTCTTTCTGAGCGTCGGAAGAGAGAGTCACCTTCACCAGCGATTTTGGCCCGAGGAGCTTCGAGATCCTGCTCGCAGATGCCTTGTTAAGCTCCACCCTCAGCTCGCCGGTCATGCTGAAGCTGAAGCCAAGCTTCTTGCCGGTCACACTCACGTGGTACTGGGCGGTTTGGAAACAAATGGGATGACATCTCAAGGCTTGGGTTTAGGGTTCTGGCTTTTGTCCACGAGGGGAATGTCACGTTCAAGTGAGATTAAAAATATTATTGCTGCGAAGATTCAAAGATCGCACTGAGCTCGGACGGGTGCATAACAGTCGACTTTGCAAAAGACATGTCGTCTTTCACTGTCTTCTGCTCGGGCCAGCACAGGTAGAAGGTCATGGCTGTCACGGCGGAACCCGGCTCTCAGCTCAATGGCGGGGGGCGCCGTCTGGAGCTCGAAAAAGCTACGATGCGAAATTCAGCTCACAAGTTGTCGACTGCCGCTGAAGCATGTCACACCCACTGCAGGACTGAGACACCGACTCTCGTGGTTGGCTTCTGGGCCTCATGCTCAGGACTCACCGAACCCACGGAGTTAAACCCAAGCCACTGCCATTAATCTCAGTCACACTCATCGAACTTTTCACTGCCCAGCTGTGCACCATGCGTCCCCGTGCTTGGTGACTACTCTGGATCTGGACTACGTCCTTGTCACTCCCACCCTGAATCTGAACTATGCTCGCCGGTCATGCTTCATCATTCGATGTGTCTCGTTGAACTGGAGCACTTCTTGAATCCGCAGCGAGAAGTCCCTTGCCGAGTCATACGCCTCGGCTCAAGGCATGACACCGGAAATGCAGAGGAGTGATTTTGATGATATCAAGTTCACAGCATTCGGCCGAGGGTACTTACCAACAACATGATGCAAATTATTACTGCAACCTGGAAACTGAGCAGTGGAAGTCCCAAATCACTCTGTACAGCTTGCGTAGGGACCACTTCTTCTGCGCCAGGAATCCCACGATATGGTCTGCAGTGAACACTCTCTCTGTCATCGTCGAGGTCGGTGTCGTTTCATTTGGAGTTTCCTCTGTCACCCT